GATCACAGGGATTGTTGACAAGTTAATTCAATCTGGAGAGACGAGGAAACAAGAATGCCTTTGAAGTATTTTATTGAAGGTAGTTTGGCCCTAGGCCCCGGTGCGGAGTTCAGTCAGCGAGGCTCCTGCGAGAGCGCGCACAATCCCCAAAAGGCTGTGTGTTGATGGAGTTTTGCAGGCCTGGTTTAGCAGGGGACAGAACGTCCGCTATATACTGTGACCGCTATATACTGTGACCGCTATATACTGTGACCGCTATATACTGTGACCGCTATATACTGTGACCGCTATATACTGTGACCGCTATATACTGTGACCGCTATATACTATATATATGCTCAGCTGCTGCCGCCACCAGGAAGTTTGCGAGTGTTTTATGGCGATGCCAAGAGACGCTGGGCTGCCAGAATAGTCGAAGTGTCAGGCCTGATGTATGAAGAGAGGGCCGATGATGACCAGCGGCCCAGCTGCTGAGGGCAGAATGGGGAGACCCAGGGAAGCGGCGCGCGTGGCAGCGCCTATCCGAAAGGAGTGAGCTGTGTAGAGATGAGGGGAAGCAGCAGTACAGCAGCAGTACAGACTTGAGTTGGGCTCTGAACCAGTTGATGTCATGGGGAGGTTATCGGGAGTGAGGAAGCGGTCCGTTGAGATCTCCTTTCCGAGAGCGGAGGCGAGTGTAATGCATCATGGATCTGTAGGGACAGGGAGAAGTGTCAGAACGAGCTATGACTATGTTGCAAGCGCCTTTGCGTTTGGAATGCTTGAGGTGGAGGTTGAAGTAGTCGGGATAATATGACAGGTCAGAGAAGGCAATGTCTCGGGATGCATTAAAGGTGGCGTGAGAGTTTGTGAATTCGCTTATGCGTAAGAAGCCCATTTTCATGTAGGATGCAGCGGAGGAGAGAAGGTGAAGAGACGGAGGGACTAGACCAGGGCGAGGGATTCCGTGCAGGGGATCTGGCATGGCGATGGATTGGCAGAAGGGCAAAGGCGTCAGAACTCCTGGAATTTAAGCGAGAGAGAGAGAGAGAGTCAGCAAGACAGTTAAGGTGACCAGGGACGTGACGAACAGTGATGATAAAATGTTCAGGACTGAGAGCCATGTGATGCGTCTAAGGAGGATGTGATTTGGGGAGAGGATGAACGACCTCTGTTAATTATTTCAATGACGTCGAGGTTGTCGCACGTCACGGAAATCCTTTTCCTATGCCACGTATGGTTCCGCAGCACGCAGGCTACGGTCACGGGATATATCTCGTGGAGCGCGGAGGAGATGCTTCGAGGGAAAGCGTCGGGCCGGGGCCCGGCGAACCACTGGTCCTGGAAAAACCCCAAAACCCACGGACGGGGCTGCGTCCGTGAAGAACCGCGGGGCATCTGAGACAGGATGATGTCACTGTAAAAAAAAGATACACCATCCCAGCGGCTCTGCAGACGGGACCAGAACGCCAGGTCGGAGCGGCACCCCACGTCCGGGCAGACAGCGTCATTGAGGGAGGAGACGGGGCCAGCGAGGGAGAGGAGTCTGGAAATAAAAGAACGACCTTGGGCTGCAGTCCGGTGTGAGGGAGTTAAACGACCTGTAGTCCAAAGTGAGGGATTTATAACTGAGAGCTTGTAGTCCAAGCGAGGGATTAAAACAGAGTTTACAGTCCAAGTGAGGGATTAACTGAGCCCGCAGTCCAAGTGAGGGATTAAAACTGAGAGCTTACAGTCCAGTGTGAGGGATCCAACAGAGCCTGCAGTTTTTTTTTTTTTTTTTTTTGTTATATATAAGCAGTTCCAGATATAAGCAGTTCCATATGTAAGCAGTTCCATATATAAGCAGTTCCATATGTAAGCAGTTCCATATGTAAGCAGTTCCAGATATAAGCAGTTCCAGGTATAAGCAGTTCCAGATATAAGCAGTTCCGTGAGGGATTAACCTGAGAGCTCGCAGTCCAATGTGAGGGATTCAATTTGGGAGCCGCAGTCCAAGAGGGATTTAAACAGAGCTTGTAGTCCAGAGAGGGATTTAAACAGAGCCTGCAGGCCAAAGTGAGGGATTAAAACTGAGAGCTTGCAGTCCAATGTGAGGGATTAAACGGAGCTTGCAGTCAGAGTGAAGGATTTAAACTTAGAGCCGCAGTCCGAGAGGGATTTAAACAGAGCTTGTAGTCCAGAGAGGGATTTAAACAGAGCCTGCAGGCCAAAGTGAGGGATTAAAACTGAGAGCTTGCAGTCCAATGTGAGGGATTAAACGGAGCTTGCAGTCAGAGTGAAGGATTTAAACTTAGAGCCGCAGTCCGAGAGGGATTTAAACGGAGCTTGGTTAAAGAGAGCCTGCAGACCAATGCGAGGGCTTTAAACTGAAGCTTGCCCACCAATGCACAGGGCCAACTGAGCCTGCAGTACAATGCGAGGGGAATAAACCGTCCGCAGATCTCATACTTACCCACAGCGCCAGAAGACAAGGGACAACACAACGGGACCACGCCGTACCGGCACGAGGAGGCAGGGATGCGCACGGCTCCCACCGCACCGGGCTAGACCGGCCGTATGCAGCAGCAGGCCGCGATGAGACGAGCAGCGGCAAACCCGCAGAAAGAGCCCGCAAAGGAGGAGAGCGGCAAAGACCCACGGACCACAGCATGAGACCCGCAGCAGGTGCAGCCACAGGAGGAGCAGACCACACGCAGCAAGACAGAGGACAGCAGGGACCGCAGGAGTAAGCGTGAGTAGACAAAAGCGATTCCTCCAGAACGATTCTTTGCAAGGCTTCGAGAAGGCCGTAAAGTGGGAGTTTCTCCGCTTTTAAGCGGCTGGCCCGGTTGGAAATGGGCGTTTGCTGTGCGATAGGCTGGGGCTGCGAGGCCGGCCTGGAAGGGGTGGCTTTGGCTGACGTCTTCCAAATTGAATTTCCGCGAGCTGCATAACCTTGATCCAGTCCCTCAGACCCAGGTCCACCTCGCTTCTTTAAATGAAAATGGCACTTTAGACCCTTTTGAGTCAGGGTTAAAAGCTTTGCACAGCACTGAGTCTGCACTTTTAAAGGTTTTTAACAACCTGTTTTTATTGGCAGATTCTGGAAATTCTGCTGTTTTAGATTTGACTGCTGCGTTTGACACTGTGGACCATGCAACTCTTTTAAATCGTCTTGAATAGTGTGTGGGTGTCAGGGGGACCGCCCTGGACTGGTTTAGGTCTTACCTGTCAGGGCGGTCCTTCACCAAAACTCAGCAGCACGACTTTGAAGAGGAAGCAGAAGGCGCGCTCACAGCAGCTCTGGCTTCCTGTTCATTTTAGAATCCATTTTAAGATTTTATTGTTTTTTTTAAAGCTTTGAACGGACCGGCCCCTCCTTACATCCCGGACCTCACCCAAATTTACCATCCGCCCGCGCCCTGAGGTCCGAGGTCCGAGGCCCAGCTCCAGCTCGTGGTACTGAGGACCAGACTTAAAACCCGGGGACAGGGCCTTCTCTGTGGCTGGACCAAAGCTGGTCTCTCTCTCTGGTCTCTCTCCCTGGTCTCTCTCTGGTCTCTCTCTCTGGTCTCTCTCTGGTCTCTCTCTGGTCTCTCTCTGGTCTCTCTCTGGTCTCTCTCTGGTCTCTCTCTCTGGTCTCTCTCTCTCTGGTCTCTCTCTAGTCTTTCTCTGGTCACTCTCTGGTCTCTCTCTGGTCTCTCTCTCTGGTCTCTCTCTGGTCTCTCTCTCTGGTCTCTCTCTCTGGTCTCTCTCTGGTCTCTCTCTGGTCTCTCTCTGGTCTCTCTCTCTGGTCACTCTCTGGTCTCTCTCTGGTCTCTCTCTCTGGTCTCTCTCTGGTCTCTCTCTCTGGTCTCTCTCTCTGGTCTCTCTCTTTATGATTAACTCGCCTGATCCTGTTACTTTCCTCCGTGTTTTGTTTTTCTGCAGTGTCCTCAGTGTGTCCTGGGTCTACAGTCTGAGTCCTCGTTCTACAGTCTGAGTCCTCGTTCTACAGTCTGAGTCCTGGGTCTACAGCCTTAGTCCTCGTTCTACTGTCTGAGTCCTGGGTCTACAGCCTCAGTCCTCGTTCTACAGTCTGAGTCCTGGATCTACAGCCTCAGTCCTCGTTCTACAGTCTGAGTCCTGGGTCTACAGCCTCAGTCCTCGTTCTACAGTCTGAGTCCTGGGTCTACAGCCTCAGTCCTCGTTCTACAGTCTGAGTCCTGGGTCTACAGCCTCAGTACTCGTCTGCTGCAAACTGGGGACTTTTGTTCATTTATTCCAGTGTGGTTTTACTGCACATAAGAGGATCCGTGTAAAAGAATCCACATCTTTGTCCTCAGAGATGTTGAAAGTTTATCTAAAAGTGACTTTAATTCTATCAACAGTTTGACTAAAGAAACACAACTACAATTCAAATATTTATTTCAAAAAGTATATTATAAAAAACACATGTTCAGTCTTCAGGAATCAGACATAACCCTCCACCCGCACATGGTGCACAAGAGACGCACAACAGACGCACAACAGAACAGACGGTGAATCTATACTGAATTAACTTTGAGGAGACACAGACACACACCAGGAATGGATCTTTTTGGTACATTTGAAGTTTACAAAAATAAATCTTAAAACTATCTTTAACTTTGGGGCTTTTTAACAGGACACATTTTCTCACTTCCAGGTTTAAAACTGCGACTTTGGTTTAGAAGGACATTGTTGTGTGTTTTTAAACTGGCCCCAGGAAGAAGGCCGTCCACCGGTTTATAATGAACACTATTAAGCTAATGCTAATGCTAATGCTAATGCTAACCTGCTGTTTTTACAGATAATTAAGTCAATAGTAGTCAACAGAGAAAAGAGTGTGTGTGTGCGTGTGCGTGTGCGTGTGCGTGTGCGTGTGCGCGTGTGTGTGTGTGTGTGTGTGTGTGTGTATGTGTATTTGTGTGTATGTGTATTTGTGTATTTGTGTATTTGTGTATCTGCATCTGGCCTCTTTCCTTTGTCCTGAACCTGGAAGTGCAGTGTGACATCATCATTAAGAGCCCCATCGTCACATGAAGAAGAATGATTGTCCTCAGCACCTGCAGAAGGACCGGAACGAGCAGAACGACCGGAACGAGCAGAACGACTGGAACGAGCAGAAGGACCGGAACGAGCAGAAGGACCGGAACGAGCAGAAGGACCGGAACGAGCAGAAGGACCGGAACGAGCAGAAGGACCGGAACGAGCAGAAGGACCGGAACGAGCAGAAGGACCGGAACGAGCAGAAGGACCGGAACGAGCAGAGAGAAAAGAGGAGGTCTGCTGTAAACACTAGCATGGCTAACAGAGAGAGCTAGCGTAGCCTCAGTCTGAGTCTCAGGAAGAGGACCTGGTTCTGGACATTTATGGACTTTATCAACTCTTAAGGCGGCTTTTGGACCAATGGCTCTGTGTTTGAACCCTTTGATTCTCTGATCTGCTGCTGGAGAATCGACACTTTCATAAAGTCCTCAGAGAAAAATACTGCAGTGAACTAAAAAAGTGATGAAAAATAAGTCAAAAATGACTCAAATGTAGCGAGATGTGTCTTAGTTTGAGCACGTTCTTCCTTAAACTGGATCATCCACAGAAACAGAATGTTTCAGATTAAGATTAAATCACAGATTAAATCACAGATTAAATCACAGATTAAATCACAGATTATGTGTGATTTGGGAGAAGATAATTATGAGTTTTGTCACACGACTCACTGCACAGAGAGCAGCAGCTCTACATCGGGCTCTACAGCCAAACAATGAGACAGTGTGAGGTCCATACAAATCTGTGTTTTTATCTTAATCTGAAACATTCTTTGTTAAAAAGACATTTGTCTGATTTGGGACGTTTCTGTTTCTTTTTAAAACCAGATCACTTTTCTTCGTCCCGTTGTTTTGAGGCAGAACGTGCTCAGACCTAAGATACATTTTATTGTTCATGTCTGTTTGCAGTGTAGACAGGAGCGTGCTGTTGCTGGCCACTGGGAGGCGCTATTGTCTCAGAGACAGACAAATAAAAATCCATAAGTCTGTGTCTGTGTGAAACTGAACTGAACTGAACTGAACTGAACTGAACTGAACTGAACTGATCTGAGGCTCACTGCGGCAGTATTTGATCTTTCACTCTTTAACACTTCCTCTTTAACACTTGGCACTTCCGGATTCGTCCGGAAGTTCAGTTAATAAGTCCTTAAATGGTGACTGGTTAAGTTTTAGGTGTTTGAGTAAAATGGTTAAGGTTAGGGTTAAGGTGGTCTGAGTAAGATGGTTAAGGTTAGGGTTAAGGTGGTCTGAGTAAGATGGTTAAGGTTAGGGTTAAGGTGGTCTGAGTAAGATGGTTAAGGTTAGGGTTAAGGTGGTCTGAGTAAGATGGTTAAGGTTAGGGTTAAGGTGGTCTGAGTAAGATGGTTAAGGTTAGGGTTAAGGTGGTCTGAGTAAGATGGTTAAGGTGAGGGTTAAGGTGGTCTGAGTAAGATGGTTAAGGTTAGGGTTAAGGTGGTCTGAGTAAGATGGTTAAGGTTAGGGTTAAGGTGGTCTGAGTAAGATGGTTAAGGTTAGGGTTAAGGTGGTCTGAGTAAGATGGTTAAGGTTAGGGTTAAGGTGGTCTGAGTAAGATGGTTAAGGTTAGGGTTAAGGTGGGTCTGAGTAAGATGGTTAAGGTTAGGGTTAAGGTGGTCTGAGTAAGATGGTTAAGGTTAGGGTTAAGGTGGATCTGAGTAAGATGGTTAAGGTTAGGGTTAAGGTGGTCTGAGTAAGATGGTTAAGGTTAGGGTTAAGGTGGTCTGAGTAAGATGGTTAAGGTTAGGGTTAAGGTGGTCTGAGTAAGATGGTTAAGGTTAGGGTTAAGGTGGTCTGAGTAAGATGGTTAAGGTTAGGGTTAAGGTGGTCTGAGTAAGATGGTTAAGGTTAGGGTTAAGGTGGTCTGAGTAAGATGGTTAAGGTTAGGGTTAAGGTGGGTCTGAGTAAGATGGTTAAGGTTAGGGTTAAGGTGGTCTGAGTAAGATGGTTAAGGTTAGGGTTAAGGTGGTCTGAGTAAGATGGTTAAGGTTAGGGTTAAGGTGGTCTGAGTAAGATGGTTAAGGTTAGGGTTAAGGCGGTCTGAGTAAGATGGTTAAGGTTAGGGTTAAGGTGGTCTGAGTAAGATGGTTAAGGTTAAGGTTAAGGTGGTCTGAGTAAGATGGTTAAGGTTAGGGTTAAGGTGGGTCTGAGTAAGATGGTTAAGGTTAGGGTTAAGGTGGTCTGAGTAAGATGGTTAAGGTTAGGGTTAAGGTGGGTCTGAGTCAGATGGTTAAGGTTAGGGTTAAGGTGGTCTGAGTAAGATGGTTAAGGTTAGGGTTAAGGTGGTCTGAGTAAGATGGTTAAGGTTAAGGTTAAGGTGGTCTGAGTAAGATGGTTAATGTTAGGGTTAAGGTGGTCTGAGTAAGATGGTTAAGGTTAGGGTTAAGGTGGGTCTGAGTAAGATGGTTAAGGTTAGGGTTAAGGCGGTCTGAGTAAGATGGTTAAGGTTAGGGTTAAGGTGGTCTGAGTAAGATGGTTAAGGTTAGGGTTAAGGCGGTCTGAGTAAGATGGTTAAGGTTAGGGTTAAGGTGGTCTGAGTAAGATGGTTAAGGTTAGGGTTAAGGCGGTCTGAGTAAGATGGTTAAGGTTAGGGTTAAGGTGGTCTGAGTAAGATGGTTAAGGTTAGGGTTAAGGTGGTCTGAGTAAGATGGTTAAGGTTAGGGTTAAGGTGGTCTGAGTAAGATGGTTAAGGTTAGGGTTAAGGTGGTCTGAGTAAGATGGGGTGGACTGCTCTGAGTCCTGCTGCTGCAGCGGGGGAGTGGTTATCCCAGACCATTCCATAATTGAGGATATAGACAAACATGAACCAACATTACATCATTGATCATCTGAACTAAAGGCAGGAGTCGAACGACAAAGAGGAATGGGACAAAATAACACTGGGACTGTTCTGCATGTGCCAAAGGATTCAAGTGCTTTTCCCTTTTGTTAGTAGTAGCCCTCAGAAGAAAAGCAGCCAGTCTAAAACTACTAATATTATACAACAATACATCATTGTGAGCAGGACAGAGACCAGGACAGAGACCAGGCAGAGGACAGAGACCAGGACAGAGACCAGGCAGAGGACAGAGGACTTGTGAGGCCCAACAGCTCTTTGAAGGCGGACTGCAGTTCACATTAAGGCGGACTGCAGCTTTTTGAAGGCGGTCTGCAGCTCTTTGAAGGTGGACTGCAGCTCTTTGAAGGCGGACTGCAGCTCACATTAAGGTGGACTGCAGCTTTCTTGAAGGCAGACTGCAGCTCTTTGAAGGCGGACTACAGCTCACATTAAGGCGGACTGCAGCTAACTTGAAGAGGGACTGCAGCTCTTTGAAGGCGGACTGCAGCTTACTTGAAGAGGGACTGCAGCTCTTTGAAGGCGGACTGCAGCTTACTTGAGGACGGACTGCAGCTCTTTGAAGGCGGACTGCAGTTCACATTAAGGCGGACTGCAGCTTACTTGAAGGCGGACTGCAGCTCTTTGAAGACGGAATGCAGCTCTTTGAAGGCGGACTGCAGCTTACTTGAGGACGGACTACAGCTCTTTGAAGGCGGACTGCAGTTCACATTAAGGCGGACTGCAGCTTACTTGAAGGCGGACTGCAGCTCTTTGAAGGCGGACTGCAGCTCTTTGAAGGCGGACAGCAGCTTACTTGAAGGCGGACTGCAGCTCTTTGAAGGCGGCTCGTCGCTGCTTCTGCTCCTCCGCCTGTTGCTTCTTAGACTCCTGCTCCTGTCGGATCTCTGCTTCGAAGCGGTTCCCCTCGTTTATGGCCTGCACCTGTGGATCAGAGAGAAGGACATTTGACAATCTGAAAACGGCTTATTTAAGTCCTCCTCCATCACTGACCTCCTCCTCCATCACTGACCTCCTACATCACTGACCTCCTCCTCCATCACTGACCTCCTCCTCCATCACTGACCTCCTCCTCCATCACTGACCTCCTCCATCATCACTGACCTCCTCCTCCATCACTGACCTCCTCCATCACTGACCTCCTCCATCATCACTGACCTCCTCCTCCATCACTGACCTCCTCCCTCACTGACCTCCTCCATCACTGACCTCCTCCATCATCACTGACCTCCTCCATCCTCACTGACCTCCTCCATCATCACTGACCTCCTCCATCATCACTGACCTCCTCCATCACTGACCTCCTCCTCCATCACTGACCTCCTCCTCCATCACTGACCTCCTACATCACTGACCTCCTCCTCCATCACTGACCTCCTCCTCCATCACTGACCTCCTCCTCCATCACTGACCTCCTCCATCATCACTGACCTCCTCCTCCATCACTGACCTCCTCCATCACTGACCTCCTCCATCACTGACCTCCTCCATCATCACTGACCTCCTCCTCCATCACTGACCTCCTCCCTCACTGACCTCCTCCATCACTGACCTCCTCCATCATCACTGACCTCCTCCATCCTCACTGACCTCCTCCATCATCACTGACCTCCTCCATCATCACTGACCTCCTCCATCACTGACCTCCTCCATCACTGACCTCCTCCCTCACTGACCTCCTCCATCACTGACCTCCTCCATCATCACTGACCTCCTCCATCATCACTGACATCCTCCTCCATCACTGACCTCCTCCCTCACTGACCTCCTCCATCATCACTGACCTCCTCCATCCTCACTGACCTCCTCCCTCACTGACCTCCTCCATCATCACTGACCTCCTCCATCCTCACTGACCTCCTCCATCACTGACCTCCTCCATCATCACTGACCTCCTCCATCATCACTGACCTCCTCCATCCTCACTGACCTCCTCCCTCACTGACCTCCTCCATCACTGACCTCCTCCATCATCACTGACCTCCTCCATCACTGACCTCCTCCATCTCTGACCTCCTCCTCCATCACTGACCTCCTCCATCATCACTGACCTCCTCCATCACTGACCTCCTCCATCTCTGACCTCCTCCATCACTGACCTCCTCCATCACTGACCTCCTCCATCACTGACCTCCTCCATCACTGACCTCCTCCATCTCTGACCTCCTCCTCCATCACTGACCTCCTCCATCACTGACCTCCTCCATCACTGACCTCCTCCATCATCACTGACCTCCTCCATCACTGACCTCCTCCATCTCTGACCTCCTCCTCCATCACTGACCTCCTCCATCACTGACCTCCTCCATCACTGACCTCCTCCATCATCACTGACCTCCTCCATCATCACTGACCTCCTCCATCACTGACCTCCTCCATCACTGACCTCCTCCATCACTGACCTCCTCCCTCACTGACCTCCTCCATCACTGACCTCCTCCATCATCACTGACCTCCTCCATCATCACTGACCTCCTCCATCATCACTGACCTCCTCCTCCATCACAGACCTCCTCCCTCACTGACCTCCTCCATCACTGACCTCCTCCATCATCACTGACCTCCTCCATCATCACTGACCTCCTCCATCCTCACTGACCTCCTCCCTCACTGACCTCCTCCATCATCACTGACCTCCTCCATCCTCACTGACCTCCTCCATCACTGACCTCCTCCATCATCACTGACCTCCTCCATCATCACTGACCTCCTCCATCATCACTGACCTCCTCCATCACTGACCTCCTCCATCACTGACCTCCTCCATCACTGACCTCCTCCATCACTGACCTCCTCCATCACTGACCTCCTCCATCTCTGACCTCCTCCTCCATCACTGACCTCCTCCATCACTGACCTCCATCTCTGACCTCCTCCTCCATCACTGACCTCCTTCATCACTGACCTCCTCCTCCATCACTGACCTCCTTCATCACTGACCTCCTCCTCCATCACTGACCTCCTCCATCACTGACCTCCTCCTCCATCACTGACCTCCTCCTCCATCACTGACCTCCTCCATCACTGACCTCCTCCATCTCTGACCTCCTCCATCTCTGACCTCCTCCTCCATCACTGACCTCCTCCATCACTGACCTCCTCCATCATCACTGACCTCCTCCATCACTGACCTCCTCCATCACTGACCTCCTCCCTCACTGACCTCCTCCATCACTGACCTCCTCCATCATCACTGACCTCCTCCATCATCACTGACATCCTCCTCCATCACTGACCTCCTCCCTCACTGACCTCCTCCATCACTGACCTCCTCCATCATCACTGACCTCCTCCATCCTCACTGACCTCCTCCCTCACTGACCTCCTCCATCATCACTGACCTCCTCCATCCTCACTGACCTCCTCCATCACTGACCTCCTCCATCATCACTGACCTCCTCCATTATCACTGACCTCCTCCATCCTCACTGACCTCCTCCCTCACTGACCTCCTCCATCACTGACCTCCTCCATCATCACTGACCTCCTCCATCACTGACCTCCTCCATCTCTGACCTCCTCCTCCATCACTGACCTCCTCCATCATCACTGACCTCCTCCATCACTGACCTCCTCCATCTCTGACCTCCTCCATCACTGACCTCCTCCATCACTGACCTCCTCCATCACTGACCTCCTCCATCACTGACCTCCTCCATCTCTGACCTCCTCCTCCATCACTGACCTCCTCCATCACTGACCTCCTCCATCACTGACCTCCTCCATCATCACTGACCTCCTCCATCACTGACCTCCTCCATCTCTGACCTCCTCCATCACTGACCTCCTCCATCCTCACTGACCTCCTCCATCATCACTGACCTCCTCCATCACTGACCTCCTCCATCACTGACCTCCTCCATCACTGACCTCCTCCATCACTGACCTCCTCCATCACTGACCTCCTCCATCACTGACCTCCTCCATCATCACTGACCTCCTCCATCATCACTGACCTCCTCCATCACTGACCTCCTCCATCACTGACCTCCTCCATCACTGACCTCCTCCCTCACTGACCTCCTCCATCACTGACCTCCTCCATCATCACTGACCTCCTCCATCATCACTGACCTCCTCCATCATCACTGACCTCCTCCATCCTCACTGACCTCCTCCCTCACTGACCTCCTCCATCATCACTGACCTCCTCCATCCTCACTGACCTCCTCCATCACTGACCTCCTCCATCATCACTGACCTCCTCCATCATCACTGACCTCCTCCATCACTGACCTCCTCCATCACTGACCTCCTCCATCACTGACCTCCTCCATCACTGACCTCCTCCATCTCTGACCTCCTCCTCCATCACTGACCTCCTCCATCACTGACCTCCTCCATCTCTGACCTCCTCCTCCATCACTGACCTCCTTCATCACTGACCTCCTCCTCCATCACTGACCTCCTCCTCCATCACTGACCTCCTTCATCACTGACCTCCTCCTCCATCACTGACCTCCTCCTCCATCACTGACCTCCTCCTCCATCACTGACCTCCTCCTCCATCACTGACCTCCTCCTCCATCACTGACCTCCTCCATCACTGACCTCCTCCATCTCTGACCTCCTCCATCTCTGACCTCCTCCTCCATCACTGACCTCCTCCATCACTGACCTCCTCCATCATCACTGACCTCCTCCATCACTGACCTCCTCCATCTCTGACCTCCTCCATCTCTGACCTCCTCCTCCATCACTGACCTCCTCCATCACTGACCTCCTCCATCACTGACCTCCTCCATCACTGACCTCCTCCATCTCTGACCTCCTCCTCCATGACTGACCTCCTCCATCACTGACCTCCTCCATCTCTGACCTCCTCCTCCATGACTGACCTCCTCCATCACTGACCTCCTCCATCATCACTGACCTCCTCCTCCATCACTGACCTCCTCCTCCATCACTGACCTCCTCCTCCATCACTGACCTCCTCCTCCATCACTGACCTCCTCCATCACTGACCTCCTCCATCATCACTGACCTCCTCCTCCATCACTGACCTCCTCCATCACTGACCTCCTCCATCACTGACCTCCTCCATCACTGACCTCCTCCTCCATCACTGACCTCCTTCATCACTGACCTCCATCACTGACCTCCTCCATCACTGACCTCCTCCATCATCACTGACCTCCTCCTCCATCACTGACCTACTCCATCACTGACCTCCTCCTCCATCACTGACCTCCTCCATCATCACTGACCTCCTCCTCCATCACTGACCTCCTCCATCACTGACCTCCTCCTCCATCACTGACCTCCTCCATCACTGACCTCCTCCATCATCACTGACCTCCTCCTCCATCACTGACCTCCTCCATCACTGACCTCCTCCATCACTGACCTCCTCCTCCATCACTGACCTCCTTCATCACTGACCTCCTCCATCATCACTGACCTCCTCCTCCATCACTGACCTCCTCCTCCATCACTGACCTCCTCCATCACTGACCTCCTCCATCACTGACCTCCTCCTCCATCACAGACCTCCTCCTCCATCACTGACCTCCTCCTCAATCACTGACCTCCTCCATCACTGACCTCCTCCTCCGTCTCTGACCTCCTCCTCCATCTCTGACCTCCTCCATCACTGACCTCCTCCATCACTGACCTCCTCCATCACTGACCTCCTCCTCCATCACAGACCTCCTACATAACTGACCTCCTCCTCCATCACTGACCTCCTCCATCATCACTGACCTCCTCCTCCATCACTGACCTCCTCCATCACTGACCTCCTCCATCACTGACCTCCTCCTCCATCACTGACCTTCATCACTGACCTCCTCCTCCATCACTGACCTCCTCCATCACTGACCTCCTCCATCACTGACCTCCTCCATCACTGACCTCCTCCATCACTGACCTCCTTCATCACTGACTTCCTCCATCACTGACCTGCTCCTTCACTGACCTCCTCCTCCTTCACTGACCTCCTCCTCCATCACTGACCTCCTCCTCCATCACTGACCTCCTCCATCACTGACCTCCTCCATCACTGACCTCCTCCATCACTGACCTCCTCCATCTCTGACCTCCTCCATCTCTGACCTCCTCCTCCATCACTGACCTCCTCCATCACTGACCTCCTCCATCACTGACCTCCTCCATCACTGACCTCCTCCATCATCACTGACCTCCTCCATCACTGACCTCCTCCATCTCTGACCTCCTCCTCCATCACTGACCTCCTCCATCACTGACCTCCTCCATCATCACTGACCTCCTCCATCACTGACCTCCTCCATCTCTGACCTCCTCCTCCATCACTGACCTCCTCCATCACTGACCTCCTCCATCATCACTGACCTCCTCCTCCATCACTGACCTCCTCCTCCATCACTGACCTCCTCCATCACTGACCTCCTCCATCATCACTGACCTCCTCCTCCATCACTGACCTCCTCCATCATCACTGACCTCCTCCATCACTGACCTCCTCCATCACTGACCTCCTCCTCCATCACTGACCTCCTTCATCACTGACCTCCATCACTGACCTCCATCATCACTGACCTCCTCCTCCATCACTGACCTCCTCCATCACTGACCTCCTCCTCCATCACTGACCTCCTCCATCATCACTGACCTCCTCCTCCATCACTGACCTCCTCCATCACTGACCTCCTCCTCCATCACTGACCTCCTCCATCACTGACCTCCTCCATCATCACTGACCTCCTCCTCCATCACTGACCTCCTCCATCACTGACCTCCTCCATCACTGACCTCCTCCATCACTGACCTCCTCCTCCATCACTGACCTCCTTCATCACTGACCTCCTCCATCACTGACCTCCTCCATCACTGACCTCCTCCATCATCACTGACCTCCTCCTCCATCACTGACCTCCTCCATCACTGACCTCCTCCTCCATCACTGACCTCCTCCTCCATCACTGACCTCCTCCTCCATCACTGACCTCCTCCTCCATCACTGACCTCCTCCATCACTGACCTCCTCCATCACTGACCTCCTCCTCCATCACAGACCTCCTCCTCCATCACTGACCTCCTCCATCACTGACCTCCTCCATCACTGACCTCCTCCTCCATCACTGACCTCCTCCATCACTGACCTTCTCCATCATCACTGACCTCCTCCATCACTGACCTCCTCCTCCGTCTCTGACCTCCTCCTCCATCTCTGACCTCCTCCATCACTGACCTCCTCCATCACTGACCTCCTCCATCACTGACCTCCTCCATCACTGACCTCCTCCTCCATCACTGACCTCCTTCATCACTGACCTCCTCCTCCATCTCTGACCTCCTCCATCACTGACCTCCTCCATCACTGACCTCCTCCATCACTGACCTCCTCCATCACTGACCTCCTCCTCCATCACTGACCTCCTCCATCACTGACCTCCTCCATCACTGACCTCCTCCTCCATCACTGACCTCCTCCTCCATCACTGACCTCCTTCATCACTGACCTCCTCCTCCATCACTGACCTCCTCATCACTGACCTCCTCCATCACTGACCTCCTTCATCACTGACTTCCTCCATCACTGACCTGCTCCTTCACTGACCTCCTCCTTCATCACTGACCTCCTCCTCCATCATCACTGACCTCCTCCTCCATCACTGACCTCCTCCATCACTGACCTCCTCCATCTCTGACCTCCTCCATCACTGACCTCCTCCTCCATCACTGACCTCCTCCATCATCACTGACCTCCTCCTCCATCACTGACCTCCTCCATCACTGACCTCCTCCTCCATCACTGACCTCCTCCATCATCACTGACCTCCTCCTCGATCACTGACCTCCTCCATCACTGACCTCCTCCTCCATCACTGACCTCCTCCATCACTGACCTCCTCCATCACTGACCTCCTCCATCACTGACCTCCTCCTCCATCACAGACCTTCTCCTCCATCACTGACCTCCTCCTCCATCACTGACCTCCTCCTCCATCACTGACCTCCTCCATCACTAACCTCCTCCATCACTGACCTCCTCCTCCATCACTGACCTCCTCCTCCATCTCTGACCTCCTCCATCACTGACCTCCTCCTCCATCACTGACCTCCTCCTCCATCACTGACCTCCTCCTCCATCACTGACCTCCTCCATCACTGACCTCCTCCATCACTGACCTCCTCCATCACTGACCTCCTCCTCCATCACTGACCTCCTCCTCCATCACTGACCTCCTCCATGAGGTCCTTCTAAACCCTGAGGACCAAGTCTTCTGGACCCTGAGGATTGAGTCTGGACCCTGAGGACCGAGTCTGGACCCTGAGGACCGAGCCTGAACCCTGAGGACCTCCTGGACCCTGAGGACCGAGTCTGGACCCTGAGGACCGAGTCTGGACCCTGAGGACCTCCTGGACCCTGAGGACCGAGTCTGGACCCAGAGGACCGAGTCTGGACCCAGAGGACCGAGTCTGGACCCAGAGGACGGAGTCTGGACCCAGAGCAGCTCTTACTTTGGCTTCGAAGAAGGTCTTGGCTCCTTTCACGCCCTCTGCTCCCACATCGATCTCAGACAGACGAGTCAGGACCTCCAGACCACTGTCCTGGACCAGCTCCCCAGCTGCTGCCTTCCTGAAGATCAGCAGGAACTACACATACACATACACAGACACACACAGAGACACACACAGACAGACACACACACACAGAAACACACATACAAACACACAAACACACACACACACAAACAAAAACTCATACAGACAGACACAGAGACAAACACACAGACACACAGATAGAGAAACACACATATACACACACACATACAGAGACAAACACAAACAGACAGACACACTGTCATCACACTGTAACACACTGTCATCAAACTGTAACACACTGTCATCACACTGTAACACACTGTCCTCACACTGTAACACACTGTCATCACACTGTAACACACTGTCATCAAACTGTAACACACTGTCATCACACTGTAACACACTGTCATCACACTGTAACACACTGTCAAACTGTAACACACTGTCAAACTGTAACACACTGTCATCACACTGTAATCAAACTGTAACACACTGTCATCACACTGTAACACACTGTAATACACTGTCATCAAACTGTAACACACTGTAATACACTGTAACACACTGTCATCAAACTGTAACACACTGTCATCACACTGTAACACACTGTCATCACACTGTAACACACTGTCAAACTGTAACACACTGTCAAACTGTAACACACTGTCATCACACTGTAATCAAACTGTAACACACTGTCATCACACTGTAACACACTGTAATACACTGTCATCAAACTGTAACACACTGTAATACACTGTAACACACTGTCATCAAACTGTAACACACTGTCATCACACTGTAACACACTGTCATCAAACTGTAACACACTGTCATCACACTGTAACACACTGTCATCACACTGTAACACACTGTCATCACACTGTAATACACTGTCATCAAACTGTAACACACTGTAATACACTGTCAAACTGTAACACACTGTCATCAAACTGTAACACACTGTCATAAAACTGTAACACACTGTCCTCACACTGTAACACACTGTCCTCACACTGTAACACACTGTAATACACTGTCATCAAACTGTAACACACTGTAATACACTGTCAAACTGTAACACACTGTCATCAAACTGTAACACACTGTCATCACACTGTAATACACTGTCATCAAACTGTAACACACTGTCATCAAACTGTTACACACTGTCATCACACTGTAACGCACTGTCATCACACTGTAACACACTGTCATCAAACTGTAACGCACTGTCATCACACTGTAACACACTGTCATCAAACTGTAACACACTGTCATCAAACTGTAACACACTGTCCTCACACTGTAACACACTGTCCTCACACTGTAACACACTGTAATACACTGTCAAACTGTAACACACTGTCATCAAACTGTAACACACTGTCCTCACACTGTAACACACTGTCCTCACACTGTAACACACTGTAATACACTGTCAAACTGTAACACACTGTCATCAAACTGTAACACACTGTCATCACACTGTAACGCACTGTCATCACACTGTAACACACTGTCATCAAACTGTAACACACTGTCATCACACTGTAACACACTGTCAAACTGTAACACACTGTCATCACACTGTAACACACTGTCATCACCCTGTAACACACTGTCATCAAACTGTAACACACTGTAATACACTGTCAAACTGTAACACACTGTCATCAAACTGTAACACACTGTCATCACACTGTAACACACTGTCATCAAACTGTAACACACTGTAATACACTGTCAAACTGTAACACACTGTCATCAAACTGTAACACACTGTCATTACACTATAACGCACTGTCATCACACTGTAACACACTGTCATCAAACTGTAACGCACTGTCATCACACTGTAACACACTATCATCAAACTGTAACACACTGTCCTCACACTGTAACACACTGTCATCAATCTGTAACACACTGTCATCAAACTGTAACACACTGTAACACACTGTAACACACTGTCATCAAACTGTAACACACTGTAATCAAACTGTAACACACTGTAACACACTGTCATCAAACTGTAACACACTGTAATCAAACTGTAACACACTGTAACACACTGTCATCAAACTGTAACACACTGTAACACACTGTCATCAAACTGTAACACACTGTAATCAAACTGTAACACACTGTAACACACTGTCATCAAACTGTAACACACTGTAACACACTGTCATCAAACTGTAACACACTGTCATCAAACTGTAACACACTGTAACACACTGTCATCAAACTGTAACACACTGTCATCAAACTGTAACACACTGTCATCAAACTGTAACACACTGTAACACACTGTCCTCACACTGTAACACACTGTCATCAAACTGTAACACACTGTCCTCACACTGTAACACACTGTCATCAAACTGTAACACACTGTCATCAAACTGTAACACACTGTCATCAAACTGTAACACACTGTCCTCACACTGTAACACACTGTAACACACTGTCATTACACTATAACGCACTGTCATCACACTGTAACACACTGTCATCAAACTGTAACGCACTGTCATCACACTGTAACACACTATCATCAAACTGTAACACACTGTCCTCACACTGTAACACACTGTCATCAATCTGTAACACACTGTCATCAAACTGTAACACACTGTCATCACACTGTAACACACTGTCATCAAACTGTAACACACTGTCATCAAACTGTAACACACTGTAACACACTGTAACACACTGTCATCAAACTGTAACACACTGTAACACACTGTCATCAAACTGTAACACACTGTCACAAACTGTAACACACTGTCATCAAACTGTAACACACTGTAACACACTGTCCTCACACTGTAACACACTGTCATCAAACTGTAACACACTGTCCTCACACTGTAACACACTGTCATCAAACTGTAACACACTGTCATCAAACTGTAACACACTGTCATCAAACTGTAACACACTGTCCTCACACTGTAACACACTGTAACACACTGTCATCAAACTGTAACACACTGTAACACACTGTCATCAAACTGTAACACACCGTAACACACTGTAACACACTGTAACACACTGTCAAACTGTAACACACTGTCATCAAACTGTAACACACTGTAACACACTGTCATCACACTGTAACACACTGTCAAACTGTAACACACTGTCATCAAACTGTAACACACTGTCATCACACTGTAACGCACTGTCATCACACTGTAACACACTGTCATCAAACTGTAACACACTGTCATCACACTGTAACACACTGTCATCACACTGTAACACACTGTCCTCACACTGTAACACACTGTCATCAATCTGTAACACACTGTCATCAAACTGTAACACACTGTCATCACACTGTAACACACTGTCATCAAACTGTAACACACTGTAACACACTGTCATCAAACTGTAACACACTGTAACACACTGTCATCAAACTGTAACACACTGTCATCAAACTGTAACACACTGTAACACACTGTCCTCACACTGTAACACACTGTCATCAAACTGTAACACACTGTAACACACTGTCCTCACACTGTAACACACTGTCATCAAACTGTAACACACCGTAACACACTGTAACACACTGTCATCAAACTGTAACACACCGT